CAATCTTCCTTCCTGCAGGAATACCAAATTTTACACCTATCTACACAAAAAAGCACTTTCATAAGAAGCAAAAATGAGGTAGATGATCACAGTAAATGGTTTTAACTTCACATCACTGAAAGAGGCACAGAAGTGGATGGAAAAGACAGTCTTGAATAACCGACACCAGCCCTTCCCGTCCGCCAGCAGCGGCTACATGGCATAAATTATGCACTTAAGGAGAGGGAGAGCACAGCAACTGGGGCACTTTGCATTGGAAATCAGCACTGCCAACACGGGCAGAACTTAGCCTGCACCCACAGAGGGAGCATTTTAAAAAGCCCTAGCGAGAGGGTATTCACCCACCCCAGCAGTTGGAACTGAGTCTTGGTTGGCCTCGCAACTGCATGCTAACATGCTCTGGAGTCCTAAATAAACTTGAAAGGCTGTCTAGACCACAAGGTAACTTCTAGGTAAATTGTGGAGCTCTGCTGGGCTTGGAGCCAGTGGATTTAAGGGACATGTGACCAAGTCAGACACCACTGGGGGCAGCTAAGGGAGTGCTTGCATCATCCCTGCCCCAACCCCATGTAGCCCAGCTTGCAGCTCCAGAAGAGACCCCTTCATTCTGTATGAGGAGAGAAGAGGGAAAAGTGAAGAGGACTTTGCTTTGCAACTTGGATACCAGCTCAGCCACCGTAAGATAGGTCACTGGGTATTAGTCGCGAGGCCCCCATTCCAGGCCCTAGCTCCTGGACAACATTTCTAGACACACCCTGGTCCAGAAGGAAACCCACTGCCTTGAAAGAAAGAACTCAGTCCTAGCAAAATTCATCACCTGCTGACTAAAGAGCTCTTGGGCCCTGAATAGTGAGTAGTGGTAACCAAATAGTACATGCTGTGGGCCTTGGGTGAGACTCTGAGAGGTGCTGGCTTCAGGTGTGACCCAGCATATTCACAGCTGTGGTGCTACAGTGAGAAATTTCTTCTTCCCGAGAAAAGGAGAGGAAAGTGTATAGGGTACTTTGTCTTGCAGCTTAGGTACCAGCTCGACTACAGTGAGGAGGAGCACCAAGCAGGCTGATGGGTCCCCATTTCTAGGCCTTGGCTTGTGGATGGTATATCTAGCCCAGGGATGGACCTGCCCTGAGCTAGAAGGGAATCCAGTGCCCTAAAGGATGAGTCCCAGGCCTGGCACCATTCACCACAAGCTGACTGAGGAGCCCTTGGACATTGAAGGAACATTGGTGGTACTCTGGCAGCACTCCCTGTGGGCACGTGGTGGTGGTGGACACAGGGAGAGGCTCCTCTGCTTGGGGAAAAGAGAGGGGAGAGTAGGAAAGACTTAATCTTGCGGTTTCAGTGCCAATGTACCTGCAGTAGAATAGAGCCACCAAGTATATTTCTAAGGTTTCTAAATCTAGTCCCTGGGTCCCGGACATCATCTCTGGATCCACGTGGGGCTCGGGGGAACTTGCCACCCTGAAGGAAAGGAGACAAGACTGGTTGCCTTCACTACCTGTTGATTACAGAGCCCTGGAGACTTCAGCAAATATAGAAGGCAGCCATATATTGGTTACAGCAGGCCGTAGGTAAGACTCAGTACTGTGCTTGCTTCAGGTTTGACCCAGCCCAGTCCCAACAGAGGTGATCACAGCCCTGCTATGTCATGCCTCAACCAGCTTCAGGCAGTTCAGCACAGAGGGAGAGACTCAGTCTGTTTGGGAGAAAGTAAGGGAAGAGAGTAAGAGTCTTTGTATAGTAATCCAGATAATTTTTCCAGATCTTATTCAATATCACCAAGGTGGTACCTCTGTGAGTCTGCAAGAACTACAGTGTTGCTGTGCTTGGGGTGGCTCTTAATGTAGATATGGCTGCAATGATCAAAACCTTAGATTACAACACCCAAGTCCCTTCAAATACCTGGAAAGCCTTTTCAAGGTGGATGTGTACAAACATGCCCAAACTGCAAAGACAACAATAAATACCCAACTCTTTGATGTTAAGACAGCAATGAACATACACGAATATCAAGATATTTTGGAAAACACAGCCTCACCAAATAAACTAACTAAGGCAGCAGGTGCCAATCCCAGAGAGACAGAGATATGCGACCTCTCAGACAGAGAATTCAAAATAGCTGTTTTGAGAAAACTCAAAGAAATTCAAGCTGACACAGAGAAGGAATTCAGAATTCTATCAGGTAAATTTAACAAAGAAACTGAAAGAATTAAATAGAATCCAGCAGAAATTCAGGAATTGAAAAATGCAATTGACATACTGAAGAATTCATCAGAGTCTCTTAGTAGAAGAATTGATCAAGCAGAAGAAAGAAAACGTGAACTTGAAGACAGGTTCCATGAAAATATACAGTCAGAGAAGCCAAAAGAAAAAAGAATAAAAAAGAATGAAGCACACCTACAAGATCTACAAAATAGCCTCAAAAGTGCACATCTAAGAGGTATTGGCCTTAAAGAAAAGCTAAAGAGAGAGACAGGGTTAGAAAGTTTATCCAAAGGGGCTGGGTGTGGTGGCTCACACCTGTAATCCCAGCACTCTGGGAGGCCGAGGTGGGTGGATAGTTTGAGGTCAGGAGTTCAAGACCAGCCTGGCCAGCATGGCAAAATCCTGTCTCCACTAAAAATACAAAAATTAGCCATGTGTGGTGGCGGGTGCCTGTAATCCCAGCTACTCAGGAGGCTGAGGCAGGAGAATCACTTGAACCTGGGAGGTGGAGGTTGCAGTGAGCCGAGATTGCACCTCTGAACTCCAGGCTGGGCGACAGAGCAAGACTTCGTCTTTAGAAGTTACTCTTGCTCCATTTCTAAACAGCGTCTTAGAGGCCAGCGTTTTATTTTAGGTCTACATGAAAGGCAGGGGGCGAGATTAAGTGAACAGCATGTTCTTTAGGCCATGCTCTTTGTGATGGCTACGGGGGTGGCTCAGATGCCTCTCTTGGTAAATTTCCCAATCCTGTGCCATGCTCCATAGCGTCTAGTATGTATTAGACACTCAAACATTAGTTAAATGACCAGGTGAGGTAAAATTACATAATGGCCCACCATAGTCTTTAACTCTGGGAAAAACCCAATCATCAGTTTATATGTGTGTGTGTGTGTGTGTATACTCAGCCATAAAAAGGAGCAAAATAAGGTCATTCACAGCAGCCTGGATGGAACTGGATACTATTATTCTAAGTGATGTAACTCAGGAATGGAAAACCAAATATCATGTGTTCTCACTAATAAGTGGAAGCTAAGCTATGAGGACACAAAGGCATAAGAATGATACATAGGACTTTGGGGACTCAGGGGAAGGGGTGGGAAAGGGTGAGGGATTAAAGCTATTGGGTACATTGTACACTGCTTGGGTTATGGGTGCACCAAAATCTCAGAAACCACCGCTAAAGAACTTATTCATGTAACCAAACACCACCTGCTTCCTAAAAACCTACTGAAATAAAAAATAAAGTTGTATAAAAAAGAAAAAAATGCCCATACTACCCAAAACAATCTACAAATTCAATCCAATCCCCCATAAAAATTCCAGTGACATTCTTCACAGAAATAGTGTTGTAACCAAGCGAGTTAGAAGGAACGCGCCACGCTCTGGGGTCCAAATTAAGAGTCCTTTATTAGCCAGTGACCGAGAGATGGCTAACGCTCAAAATTCTCTCGGCCCCGAGGGAAGGGCCTGATTATCTTTTATATCTTGATTTAGGTAGGGGAGGGGGGTAACTAGCTGAAGTGGAATTTTACAGAAGCAGAAAAGCAGGTTAGAGGAAGGGGCTTCCAGCACAGGTGGTCCAAGAAGGGGAGCGATCAGCCTTCTTCTATGCAATGATCAAAGGGAAACTTTTTTCTTACAATAGCAGGGAGGAGGTATGCCAAGCAGGATGCGGTTACAATGGTTACAAGTGTTAGGAACAGTAGGCTTCAATGCTTCTAAGTGCAGCCTGACCCAGTTATGCACCCAAAGGGGCTGTGGTAAGGAGGGGGAAGCCACGTTGGAGTTTACAGGTAAAATGGAGTCAGTTATGCTAGCCCATGGTAGGTTATTACAATAGAAGAAACAATTCTAAAATTTATGTGGAACCACAAAAGACCAATAATAATAGCAAAAGCTACCCTAAGCAAAAAGAACAAAACTGGAGGAATCACATTACCTGACTTCAAATTCTACTACAGAGCGATAGTAACCAAAACAGCATGGTACTGGTATAAAAACAGATACATAGACCAATGAAACAGAATACAGTACCCAGAAGTAAATCCACACACATAGCGCACAGCTACCCGGGTTTCTGAGCACAACACTCTGCATGTGTTAACTTTGCAGTTTTGAAGTTAACAAGACCGTTGGCTCACTGTGCAGTCCATATGTGATGCTGAACCCTTTACACACAGCCCTATACGGTTTTGAAGCTAGCAAAACACTGCTACACTTAAATTTTACCAACTCTACCCCTTCCTTAAAATCTTAGTCTGTGTTTTCCTTTGTTTAGTTAGATGCCTCATAGCTCCTCTGTAGTATAATTTTGTGCATTGTAGGTCAGGGTCAAAACCATAAAGGTGATTTTCTGGGACTCCAGTCTTGTCAATAACAGGTGGTTCTAGGCTGATAGATGTAAAAAAGAAAAGCTTTAAAAGAATGTTCTCTGTTAAAATTTGCCTTCATAAACTTCATGTTTAAAATCATATGTGTATAAATATTAAAAGGGTGAGCCACGATTTTGGTAAGGCAATTGCTGAGCAAATCACACACAAATTTTTTTTAATCACCATTGATTTATTACATAGACTATATATTTGGCTGTGAAAAAGGTAAGAGAAAGAACTCGGCTATTTCATTTTAGAGCAACAGCGAAGAGAGACCCCTGCACTGTAGCTCAGAGTCCTTTTCCATTCTTCATTCAGCGCGTGGCGGTCGTGCGGCGGCTCCAGACTACTATCCCAGCATCCTGTGCGGCGCGGGGCAGGAAGCCCGGGAATCGGAGAAAGAGGCTCCGGGGGATACCGGGCCAGTGAGGGCCGCTCCTCCTATGAAGCGGTTTTCGCCTCTTAACGCCGGTGGCGTCGGAGCTCACGCAGGGGCGGGTCCCGGTAGCGCCAGGCGGTGCAGGGCGGGAAGGGGAGTCGTGGCGGCCGCAGCGGCAGGGACAGCGGGGACAGCGGCGGCGGCGGCGGCAGGGACAGGGACAGCAGAAGCGGTGGTGTTGTCAGCGCGGCCCTCGGAGAAATGGGAGAGCCGGGGTCGGAGGTGAGTAGTCGAGTGAGGGCCCTGGCGTTCTCAGAGGCGAACCGCTAAGGGTTTGTGTTTTCTGCGGTCAGAGGCCTGGTGCTCCGCCGCAGCCTCGGGGCGATACCTCTTCAGCGTCTTGGGCCGAGCCCTGCTCTGGGGCCTGGTGCGTGTCTGAGCGAGGAACCCGCAGCAACAATGGCCGCCCGGCCCCCCGCACGGGCCCGGGCGTTCGCTGTGGCCGCGGCTGGGCCGGTGAGAGCGACGTTTTAAGGCAGGATTGCCCTGCGGTAGTGAGCTTGCGTCCCTCCTTGTGGAGTTGATAAGGGGAATTCTGAGAGGCTGGTAACGCGTTTTCGGCGGTCGGTCCCTGCAGCTCCGCACACGCTGTGGCCAGAGCCGACTCCGAGTTCTGCTCCTAGTGGGGTTTGCGTGAAATTGTGCTCAGTTCGTTTTCCTCGAGAGCTCTTTGTTTTTAGTTGTTCCTTTCGGAAAAGCTCTCTTCCTCCAATTATGTGGCTGCATAGATAAGCATGTTTTGGCTTGTTTTTATAGATAATAGAATCTGTCCCTCCAGCTGGCCCTGAGGCATCTGAGTCAACAACGGATGAAAATGAGGACGACATTCAGTTTGTCAGTGTAAGTAGCAACTGATGATTGGGTTTTTCTCAGAGTTAAAGACTATGGTGGGCCATTATGTAATTTTCCTCACCTGGTCATTTAACTAATGTTTGAGTGTCTAATACATACTAGACGCTATGGAGCATGGCACAGGATTGGGAAATTTACCAAGAGAGGTATCTGAGCCATCCCCGTAGCCATCACAAAGAGCATGGCCTAAAGAACGTGCTGTTCAAAGCTGGCCTCTAAGACGCTGTTTAGAAATGGAGCAAAGAGTAACTTCTAAAGGCGACATGGAGGAAGGAGCTGCTAATGATGAGCAAGGACAGAGAAAACAGGAAGGGTTTCGAGAACCCAGAGTCTTAGCCTTACGGTGCTGGTAACATGAAGGCAAATAGCTTGAAGATTTCACTGAGCTCTGAGGTCATCATGTTACAGCATAGTATGCTTGATGCTCATAAGGCAGAATCCTACATCACTGGGAACATGCTTTATTTTTCTGAGTTTCTTCCCTTTGGGACAGTAGTTTTTAAGCCTTAGTAAATGTAAACAGGCAGATTCCTGGACCCCACTGCAGACCTACCGAATGAGAATTTCAAGGTGTGGCCTAGGAATCTTCATTTTCGGACAAAT